ATTTTGCTTTTGCGTCACATTATATATCGCCCGTGCATCGCACGGGCTTGAAACCTAGTACATATGAAAGAGAAATTTTTTCCGCTTAATTATTAGCATTGTTATCTTCTTGTACCTAAAACACTTACATATAGGAGAGAAAGTTCTCCCGCTCAATTGTACTATATATATGAGAAAGGGAAATTCTTTCGCTCAATTGTTAGTCGGCTTATCTTATACTTTAGATAACTATATATGAGACAGAGAAATTCTCCCCCTCGTTATTATGAATAGTGTGAGTATTGATTCACAAGTTTATTTTGATGTTTCTTCATGTTTAATTTGGCTTCTTATTCTAGTTGGTAATCTACTACAATGTTTCTTTCATGGTCCATTACATATAACTTTTTCTTCATTTTCATAAGTCAACAGAATCAACCACTTCGACCACTTCTGCCAAAACTTCATAAGTTTCAGCAGAATCAGCTGATTCAGTCGATTTTGGTATTACCAAACAGGCTCTAAGAAAGTGAGAAGAAAGTGGAAAAGTGAGGTTGTGGTTGAGTAAGAAAAAGGTAAATGAATTTTAGCGACACGAACACTCCAAAGATCAATGGGAAGCTTATAAGAAGAAAGTTATCCCGCTCAATTCTTAGCTAGCTTACCCTATATCTAAAAGTAGAATTTGGATCCTCTCCAGTAACTGGATACTTCCAGTTGGAGAGAGATAGAGAGAAGGGGTATTATGGTGGGGTATGTTGATGAGTAAGATAGAGAAAAAAGTAGAGATTGATAAGAAGAAAAAAGAAATGGAAGAGAAATGGAGAGAAGTGAACTCCTAAAAGTACTATGTATGAGAGAGAAGTTCTTCCACTCAATTGTTACCCGGCATATCATATACTTAAAAAAATATATATGAGAGAAACAATTCTTCCTCATTATTATGAATAATGTGAACTTTTATTCGCAAGTTTATTTTCATTTTTCTAAATTCAGTTCGATTTGGCTTCTTATTCCCGTTGGTAATCTTCTACGGTGCTTCTTTCATGGCCCGTTATATAGTAAGAGATGCATTTTTTGTTCAAATATTCTTCCAAATGCTAGATTAGTAAGCATCTGAAACTCTTTCGTAAGTCTATCTCGTTTGTATGTATAAAATTGGAAGTTTACAATAATAACAAAATTCAAATATATTTGTATATTTAATGAAATGTGAATTTTTAAGGATTCTCATTCTGTATTAAAAAAAAGAGAATTCTCATTCTGTTTACTATTAAAGGTGATTTGGTTCGCCGGAATTAAAAATACTCTCCCCCTTCCCATAAAAATCTTCCCGATTTGACTTGGATCAGAATTTAAGAAAGTACGAATAAAGTGGAAATGTGAGGATAAGATTCAGTAAGAAAAAGGTAAATGAATCTCAGCCACACAAAACTCCGCAAAAGGGGATATGAGGAGAATTTTTTGGGATGTCCCAAAATGGTGAGTGGAAAGAAATTTATGAGATAGGGGGAGTATTTTCTAATATGATGAGATTAATGTGTATAATGTTTTGCCCTACAGATTGAATTGCAAATCTCATGAGTTAACTATCCTCCTTTGCTATTTCCAATGGTAAAGATGCACAATATACATCACAATGTACATATTAAAATTCACGGTTTTTTATGACCTTTCATAAAACAAATATTGCATATACAACAATGTAACTGAATTGGCTATGAGTATCCTTTTATAGTCACTTTGATATAATTTGAAACACAATTAAATACGAAGTAGTTATCAAAACCACTTTCCAAAATATCAAATACTAAAATAATACACATATAACATCACTGTTTTAATCAATGACTATAATATATTATATACGAAGTAGTTATCAAAACCACTTTCCAAAATATGCTCGAATACCTTGATATTTAAAATAATACACCAATAACTTTACAATTATCATCTAGTCCCATTATATTATAAGGAAAATAACTTTAAATAATACAAACTATCTTTCATAAACCAAGAATAATACATACTTTGAAAATGATTTTTAATAATACCAACTATTTGCATATAAAACAAAAATAATATGGAGTCACTTTTCAACAAGAAATCGAGTCATTTAAGACATTAAAATCTAATAGCAAACTATCAAAGAAATGATATTTGGAAATACAATCACTCATTTGATATTTTGATACTATTTTTTTGTTGAATTAAATAACTGAATTTTCGTTGAAAAATTGCTCCATATCACTTTTGGTCTATGTTTGGATAGTTGGTATTATGAAAAGTAATTTCCAAAGTATGCATTATTTTTGATTCATGAAAGATAGTTTGTATTATTTAAAGTTATTTTCCCTATATTATATACCTATCAAAATAACACCAGAAAATATATTTGAATTACCTAAATAACTATGTAATATTTTCAAAGAAAAACTTAATAATTTTATTAAGTTTTGACTATGGACATATTCGGAAAGGTAATAAATTTTCTTTTGCCTGAGAATTTGCTAATTCAAACTAGGCACTAATATCATATAAACAAAAAAACGAGAGGTGCCTAAAATGTGTACATTTTTTATTAACCCTCTCGTTAATTATTGTGTGCCAAACATAGAGCATGTTTGGCACACAAAAGGTAATAGCTTCCAGCGTCTCTATTATTTAAAAAGATCTTAAAAGACTTTAGTTTTGTGTTTAGTCCAAAAGCATTTTTGAGAAGTCTAGGTCTTTTATGAGATGCTACGTAAGGTAGCGTTCAATAGAAAAGATCTTTTCAAATTCTTTCCTTTCCTCAGCATAACCTTCCGGATAACCCTGCGCATAGCTTAAAAAAACCTGCGCATAACTCCTCAAAATCCTACACATAACTCCTCAAAATCCAGCACATATCTCTTCTTCCGCTTCAACGCATTTTTTCTCTGTTCTTCAAAGGAATATGCAGGTATTCATCTCCTCTTCTCCTCCATTCTGATTATGTTTTTCAAACTCTTTCATCAATCTGTATTCTTAGCCCATGTGTTCTTTGATTTTTTTTTTAAATTTCATTTTTGTAAAACTTATGAAAGAGCCTAGTAAAAGGAATTGGATACTCTGTTTTTTGTTGAAGTAGTATACTTTGGTTACAAGATTAATAAATGAAATTTAAAAAAAAACCTTGATCGTAGGAACTGATTATGAAAAGAGTAGGAGTAACTTGAGTTAAAGAACAACTGTACAGAGTATTAATCTCTTTCTTTGTTTGCTTTTACTATTTTTATTGAGATTTTTTCCTGTTTTAAATTTTTTAGACAGCTTGTCGTAATGAAGATTTCAAATTTTGCTGAAATTTATTTCCTTTTGATTTTCTTGATTGAATTACTTTGATATGTATTCTTTCTGATATGTATTTTTTATACTTTCTGACATTTATGAATAAATAATGAGTCTATGTAAGAGACATCTATCTATCTATGTGGTTATTTGTAATATTCTATGGAGAGTTGTTAAGGATATTGTGGAGTTGTTGATTTTGTTCCATAGATGCTTTTAGGCATCTTTCATTTGATACTATATGGCAGCAACTAGCAGCTTAGGAATCCATTCATTTGCGATACGATTTTTTGATGATCTTTCTCTAAATATTTTAGCTCTTCTTATTCATTAGACAGAGGCATTAGAGTGAAAATGAAAATGTTTTAAATTATGAGATCTTTCCCATCTTATATTGGTCCTTACTACATGTTTTACTTGAAGGAATTAGCTGCAGTTTTCAGCAGCTTTTGAGCACTTTTCATCAGTTTTTGTGCATTGCTTATGTTGCTGCAGTTTCCCGCATGTGTAAAACTATTTTTTAGCAGCTTTTGAGCACTTTTCAACAGTTTTTGTGCATTGTTTATGTTGTTGCACTAAAATAATCCCTAAATGCACAAATAAGACCATGTTATTTATCTTCTCAAAATAGGACTAAAGTACCGTCAATCTTTTTATTCTACATTTCTACCCTCACCATAACTTAATAGGATAATCATATTTACATTACAATAGAAAATATAAATAAGAAAAGGTATTTCAATTTATAAAAATATAGTAACAAAATAAAAAGAAAGTTAAAACATTTTTAATGTGTTTTATCTAGTTTTATTTGCTTTTAAAGTTTTCTTAAAATTATTTTTATCACTATTTATTATTTTTTTATTTTTAATTTTTTTTAAATTTCTTTTTATTTTGTTACTACATTTTTTTAACTTAAAATACCTTTTTTTATTTTTCGTTTTTATTATAATGTAAAATATGATTATCCTATGAAGTTATGGTAAGGGTAGAAATGTGGAATAAGAAGATAGACGGTATTTTAGTCCTATTTTGGGAAAATAATTAATATAGTCCTATTTGTGCCTTTTAGGGATTAATTTAGTCCTATTTTGGGGTTATTTTCTTGAATATATTAGTGGTAGAATAAATGTAAGAAAAAGAAAAATGAAATAAATAAGTGAAAGTAAAAGGATGCTTCAAAAAAAGTGGAAGTAAAAAGAAAATAAAGTAAAAAGTTAGTACGGTGAGAAAAAAAATCTTTTATAAGTAAACTAATCTGAAAAAATATATAAAAATGAAAATGAAATAATAAACGGGAAGAAGAAAAAGAAATAAAAATAGAATACATAAACATTGAAAAAAAATTGAAAAGTAATAAAAGTAAGAATAAGAAGACCAAAAAGGGGAATAAAAGAATCAAGACGATAAAAATTAAAAAGGAAAAGTTTTTAGGAAGAAAAAAGAAAAATGTATGTGGGACCGTTTGGAGAAGATTTGTGAAAGATGAGATTTATGGTTGAATGATTTGTAACTAAAATGAAAAAACCTGGAATAACAGGTCATCAACCGGTTAGGAACCAACGAATGAAGATGATGTAGAAAGGTTAGATTATTTATTAATAATGATAAAGTGTGACTATAGTAAGAAAACCGTTAAAAAGTTGTATTATTAATTTCCATTTTTAGTACTCCCTTCGTCCCAATTTGATGGTCTCATTTATTTTGAGCACAAGTTTTAATAAAGTGGTTGAAAAGGTAAAAGTTGTGATTGAGATTTGAATATAATAAAGTGAAATATATGGACTACATCTGTCTTTGCAAAAAGGGAAACAAGACCCTAAGACATCATTTTTTGGGAAGGGGATAGTATAAAATTATAAGTTACACACTAATAATCAGGAACTGTGTCTCTGTGTTGTGCCTCGATCCTAGAAAATCTCCAGATTTGAATTAGCAAGTCTCCTCTTGTTCCAGCTTGCCTTTCCTCCAACTTTCTGTTCAGTCGTAATTCCGGCTTGCTTTCCAGCCCTTTTTAGAGTAAAATAGTTGAAACCTCTTCAACTGTACGTATATGTATTCTTGCACAGCGTGACAGCTTCAATTTCTGGCATTAATCTTCGGCTGTTTACATAGAATGCCTGAGAAGCAGTACTTATATGAGCTTCTGGGAAAAGACCAAGAGCCGTTTCAGCTAAACGGTTATATTGCCGAGCGGGAGGGTCATTTCAGTGTGACGGCAGCCACCCGTTCACCGCCGCCCAAAACCAACTCTAATCGTCTCAAGAAAAAACTCATCCCCATCGTTGAATCCTCTGCCACCAAACTCTGTTCCCATTCCTGTTTCTCCTCCATCCATGGGTCATCGCCGGAGGTCCGAATGTCTCATCTCAGCTTCCCTTCTCCTATATCGTCCAAAAGAGCGGCCGGCGGAGTTCTTCTTCACGTTCCGCCGCAAACGGCGGCTCTGCTTTTGGAGGCTGCCACGAGAGTCCTGAAGCAACAGTCTGCTAGGAAGCCCAAAATCCAGAGCCAGAACGTCGGGTTTGGACTGTTCGGGTCAATTCTGAAGCGGTTGAGGAACAAGAAACGGGAGATTACTAATAGCGTAGTTGATAAAGAACAAGAACATAAATTTTCTTTAGTTATGAAGGGGAAGGAGACTGAGGAGAGGAATGGTAATGAAAGGATTGGATTTTCTTGCTCGGTGAATCATAGTAGGCGAAGCAGTGTGGGATGGTCGGAGAGCAACGAGGAGAAATCTCTGGATTTGGAGACTTCAAGCAGTTGGAGGTCTGAAGACGACGACTTTGAAGAAGTCCCTTGTCGCCGGCGACCATGCTCGTCTTCTCCGGCGGAATCTCCGACTCATTGCAGAAGAGAGGTGAGTCACTCTTGTTCCATCACGTAGTTGTCCCCGAATCATATCAATTTAAAACTCGCATTGCTTTCACATTTCACAATCGAAGAACTGACTAGTCTGACTCGGTAAAACAAAACCGAGTCGACTCGCACGCCGTTGATTAAGTTTGACCAAATTTAAGTTGTCGGCATACGGATCACAGGGTCGGATTCTGTGCCGGAATGTCGACAGGAAATGACGAATTTGCCATTACTGGTTACCCTTAAGCCTTACCGATTCGTAATGGCCGAACGTTTTAGCCATGCGTGGGTGGGCTAGAGGTTAAAAACGTGATTTCGTTGTCGTGGCAGCAGATATGCGTTCTTTGGGTAATGGACCGCTTTCACCTCGCTTCTGCCACGGAAATCTTTTTAATTAGACCGTGTCTTCAAAATTATATTAGCAAAACGACAATCAGTTTTTGTTTTTTGCTTTGGATCCAGGTGGGAATACAGTAATCTACAGATGCCATTAATTTTTACGGTACTGCCAAAACATATAGAGGTCGTTTGACAACCCTCATTTTCGGCTTATCAGCCAATTTTTTTACCAAACGTGTAAATTTTGCTATCGCGCACTGAATTGTGTAATAAGTCGAAAAAGTAAGATTGGAGTTACTTTTCTGGCTGTATTGGCTGAAGTTACCGTAGATGATCATTTTAACTATTTTTACATATAATTTTTTCTTTATTTTATTAATAAAATATATTTTAAAAATATTTTTTTCTTGTATCAGCAGAATCAGCCAATGCAGTCACTTCAACCAGAACTTCATAAATTTCAGCAGAATCAGCCAAAACAGCCGATTTTCGTGCTACCGAACGGGCTCATAAACTGCTAATTTATAATCCGTACAAAAGATATTCATAATTTGTATACTTTTCACTTCATCTATTCCATAAAATTATTCCGTTTTGATTTGAGTTTTCATTTGAATCAGAGTTCAAAGAAAGTACGAATAAAATTAAAATATATAGTTGTGGTTGAGTAAGAAAAAGACAAATGAGTTAGTCACAAAAAATTTTCTAAGTCTAGAGCCCGTTTGGTGAGCTCGTTTTTCAGCTTATCAATTTATTAATCAACTTTTTCATCAAACACGTAACTTTTGATTTCGCAAGCTTAGTTGTTTAATAATAAGAAAAAGTAAGGTTGAATTTACTTTTCTGGCTGTATTGGTTGAATTTATTGTATACGATTGTTTTAGCTATTTTTAATATAAATTTTTCTTTATTTTATTAATAAAATATACTTCTATTTTATATATAATTTTTTCCTAAATCAGCAGAATCAGCCAATACAGTCACTTCGGCCAAAACTTCGTAAATATCAATAGAAACAACCGCTTCAACCGATTTCAGTGTTACGAAACGGGATCTTAAACTTCATCCTGAATATGTATGTTAGAAAAATTTTAATGGACAGAGAGAGTAGTTTTTGCGGCTACTATATGATATAGGGGTGTTTGGATTTACTTCTTAAAATTGTTTCTTCGCTTTCACAAAGGAAAAACATATATTGAATCAACTTTTAAAAAGAAAGCATAAGCAAAATCAATTTCAAACACCCCAATGCTTTAAATTTAGAGAAAAATACTTATCTTTCTTTATAGGTGAACCCTAATCCCTAATTCCTAAGGATATGGTTGGGAGTTTGGAGGAAAGGGGAGGAGAAGGCTTTGGTGTTATGTTGTTGATGGTGAAAGGGAGAAGATGATGAGGAAGACCTTTTTTTGTATTTGAGAGTAATAAATTTGGAAGAAGATTGTTTTGAATGAATTATAATTAAAATTCTTTGATATATGACGAATTCAAATAATTGAATTGATATTTATTTTTAATTTAGCTTAAATTACGATTTCGTTAATTATCCTTCAAAACCCTTCAATTTGTTTGAACTCAAAAATTGAACATTTAGAGGATTTTGGAGGATCAAAAAAGCCCTCTAAAACCATTCCTCCAATTATATAAACATGCCAATCAAATATGAAAATAAGGATCATAAACCTCTTTAACCTTCTAGTCACCTTCAAAATCCAACTCCCAAACACACCTTAAATAATTTAATTTTAGGATACATTGGATTCCTGGTTGGTAGGGTCTTGTCTATGGGAGTTGCCGTACCCCGTAGGTATACCACCGTATATCTGTAAGACCTTCCTCTATATTGGTGTTCCGGGTGTTCATATCAACATTAAAACTGTTTCGCTATTTTTTTGATTCGTCCTACTCTAATTAGTCCATATTAAATTAAGAGCCCGTTTGCTAACACGAAAATTAGCTTATTCGGCTGAATTTACTGAAATTTATGAACTTCTGACTAAAGTGACTGCATTGACTGCTTCTGCTGATTTGAAAAAAGTTATTTTTAAAATATATTTTATTAATAAACTACAAAAATATATATGTAAAAATAACTCGGTCATCTACACTAACTTCAGCCAATACAGCCAGAAAAGTAACTCCAACTTTATTTTTTTCTTATTATTACACAATTAAGCGTGTGAAAATAAAAGTTACGTGTTTTGTGAAAAATTAGAGCTTGTTAAGCTGAAAAACAGTGTTACCAAACAGTCTCTAAATGTGATAATATATGTATGTATGTTCTTAAATATGGGGTAGTTATTACTTAACTTTAACTTTGTAAATTCATTAACAAAGATTAACACTGTATTAGGATATGACCATTCGTAAACAAAGTACTAGTACACTTTTACTAAATTTAGAGCAACAGAGATATAGTACACCGTATGGAGTATTATATTACCATTCGTCTGATGAAAAAAGTAAAAAAAAAAAGTTATTGGTACCGAAATAAATGTCCTATTTTTCTTTTCGATCCGTCCTAAAATGATTGTCTTGTTTCCTCTTTTGACAATAATGAGTGGCTCATATCAATTCACATTTTTCTACTCAAATCTCAACCATAATTTTTACCTTTCAATCATTTTCTTAAAACTTGTGCAAAAGAAAACAAGACAATTAATTCGGGGACGGAGGGAGTACTTTCCTGTACTCGTATTTTGTATACATCCTCCACTTGTATAGGAGAAAGAGTAAATTCTCTAAATAGGAGTAAAAAAGTTTTGAAATTCCAAAATAGGAGTATCATGTTTTTATTTCCTAAACATGAGTAAATTTCTGCCAAGTTTGGCATTATTAGGCTATTAAACATGACATTTTTTCCCAAACTTGGCAGATTACTCTTATTCAAGGAATAAAAAATATGATACTCCTATTTTGGAATTTCAGAACGTTTTTGCTCCTATTTATGACAATTTCTTTAGGAGAAATTGAGATTTGTGTGTGGGAAAGAAAAATAGGGAAAATTAGACAATTAATTAGTTCAACAGGAAATTTAATTTTTTTGCATCGACTAAATAAAGGAAGCTACACAATTTTTTGCAATCGAGGAATAATAAGGAGTATTATAATGTTAGTTCTCCTTATAATGTGCATCATGATTTGAAACGATATACTAGTACAAGGTTGATTGAAGAGAATATTCTTTATAATTCTTTAAGTAGGTGTTAACATTTAAATTTTTTTAGTTAAAAACCAGACTAAATACTTTATTAAAACTCAAAAATCAAATCCAACAAGGATTACGTATTGATACTTAAAAATAAAGATTAAAATAGAATTGTGTACGACTGTACGTACTTTATAAAATTAAAAGTAATACATTTTGAGATGGAAGAAGGTTCAGCATTCCCTAAATAGAAGTTTAAATTTTCAAGATTAACTATTTGTATCCTAACCTTTCCGTTGTCATGCTTTATGGATTTTTTAAATAATATATAAACATAAAAAATTCAAAATAAAACAAATGTGTAAAAAATAAACCAAAATTATTCATGCCTCAATCGCTACCTCGACCACCTTCCAGCACCGCCACCTCCGGTCACTAGAAAAAAATGCAAACTTCCACAAAAAATGTTATCGTGATGACACTTTTAAAATCAATGTTGGATATTTTCAAAGAGAAAATGTTATCTTCAAGACATTTTCAGAGGAATCAGGCATTGAGGCAGCCTTTTTTACACTAGATGACATACTTTCTCGGCGATTGGAGCTGGTGGTGTTGGGGGAGGTGTGGAGGATCCGACGGCAGAGGTCTACATATTTGTTGATACTTTTTCACATATTCTTTTGTTTTTTTACGTTTTTTATATAGTTTTGGGTTTATAACTAATCAAATCAGACTAGAAAGATTCAGATCAGATTGATTCAGATCAGATAAAAAAAATTCAGATTAGATCATACTAGATAAACAAACTTAGATACGAAGAGACCAGACCTTAAAAAATTCAAACGAGAAACATTCAGATTAGATGAACGAAACAACTTTTTCATTTTCCATATTTATCTCATCTCACTAATGTTTCTAGTATAATTACTTTTGAGTTCAGTACAACCGAGATACTTGGATCTGCCACAGTCTGATGCCTCTTTTATGTGGTTGCTTTCCAAAAGTGAGGGTTAAATACTTGAATGTTTCAGTCTCGTTTGATTTAAGAAAGCTAGCATTATGATTAAGATTAAGATATACGGAGTATGTTATTTTAAAAAGTGTGACATCCCAAGTATTGTGATTATATTAATAACTTAGTCATACTTTTTTCGTCTCATTTTATGCGTCTTACTTTGATTTCGAACAAAATTATTAATGAAGTGATTGTAAAAGTAAAAGTTATGATTGAAATTTGAGTATACTAAAGTGAAATGTTGTAGACTACATATTTCTTCTCAAAACAAGAAATGTGACACTTGCTTTAGCGCAACTCAAAAAGAAGTATGTTTAATATTTACACTTAAGTGATAATGAGACTATATTACTACCTGCGTCCCAAAATTAACTTCCCAGATTACGATGTTTGACCGACGATAAAGCAACTCGATCCTTATTCATACTCATATTACTTTTAGTAAATAAAATTTACATATTGAGAAACTACATTAAAACCGCTACAAAGGCAGATAAAAAAATATAAATTTGATAAAAATTTGATATATAAAAATAAGATTAAGAGTAATTTAAGTTGACCATGTGAATAGTGACCGTGAAGTTCATTTTGGGACAGAGGGAGTATAATACTCCGTAGCTATTAATCATGTTTTTGGGAAAAAGTTTTATTGTAGTAATATTTTTGAAAAAAATTAAAACAAAATCTGAAAAGAAGAGTAAATATGGATTTTTTAAAATAGGACTCACTATATTTTCTTCCTAAAATGAAATTTATTTAGTCTTAATAAAAGAATAAAATAATAAAAGCTTTCTAAAACTGGAATGATATGTCCTCTTTGATGAATAACACAATGACACATGAATTATATATCCTATGTTTTACTTATAACTAAGAAAATATCTAAAAAAAAATATACTTCCAAGCATTGGTGTAACCATCATAAAATACATGGGTGTAACATGGGTGTAACTTGACCTAGGTCCTTTCCAATAATGGGAATTTATTTACACATAAGTTATATAAACATCTGAATGATTTTTTTGGCGGCTGATCCCAATTTGACAATTTCTTTTCTTGCAAGTGCTTCTACATGTGCACATGACACATAATCTATTTCCATTTGGAGTAATTTATTTTTATTACACTCTTATTATTGTTTTCCCTATGGTCAAAAGAAAGGGAGTCAAAAAAATTTATGGCAGAGAATATATATACCAGGGATTGATCCATAAATTTTGTTAATCGTGGACGTTTTATATTTGCGAGTAAAAATATAAAATAATACTCCCTCCGTATCAAATTAATTGACCCACTAGGTTTTGTAGTAGTTTAAGAAAAATTGTAGGTGTACTGTAGATAAAGTAAGAAGAAAGTAAGAAAAAGTGTAGATGATTAAAAGTTGAGGAATACTTTACAAAAGGAGTATAAACAACCGAACCCCATATACATTAAGAACTGTAGCAAAGCGTAAAGGTCATACATTCGGCCCTATTGGCAGTTCGCACACCCAAAAAAAGAAAACACTGTAGCAATTCGTAAATGGGAAAAATGCCAGCATAATGGCGCCAACTTTTTAGATTTGGAGCCAGATTAGTTCCAAAATATTCGTACTTCTATAAATAGAAGAGAGGGTGACGAGTTTGGAGCCAAGAACAATGGTGGATTCGTAGATGACATGCGCCTCAGACTTAAGAAAAACCTCTCAGACATGTTGTCATCGTCGAGGGGGGCATTTGACGGCCATTAAACAGGTAAACTTTGTCATCATAGAGGGCGTTTAGGGTTGGTCGAGATAAACCAGATGGACAACCGAAGAGGCAATAACCCATACCGACGTAGAGATAGAGAGAAACCAGAGACACCGGAGAAACAGAGAGAAGGTTTGAACAAGAGAGAGAGGGAGAGACGGATACTTCGAGAAATTGGGGGGGGGGTGATAATGGCCGATTTAATGGGGAAGGTGGGGCGGATAGGGATTTATGGTTGGATGAGATGGGGATTTAATGGAGAGGAATAATGGGATAAGTGGAGAAAAAAAAGTAAAATGTAAAAATGTAATGATGGGAAGTTAAAAGGTGGTGGGGTCCATGTCTAAAAATAGAAATGAGACTTTTAATTTGATACGTCCCGAAAAGGAAAGCGAGTCAGTTAATTTGATACGGAGGGAGTACGTAGTAGAATATAAAATAAGAAAAATTTTAAAGGTACACACTTTTTAAAAATACGTTATGTCTGTACAGACATAAAAAAACCTTACACGGACATGTGTAAAAAGTGTGTACACAAAAAGTGTGTACCCCAAGTCCAACTCATAAAATAATACTACCTGCGTCCCATAATTTACTTCCAAAATAAAGTGACATCCGGATTAAGAAAGTGAGAATTGTGTGGTGGAGAGTTGTGTAGAGGAGAGAGAAATGCTGTGAACCACAAATTCTTTGTCAAAAAAGGAAATGAAAGTTCTTTTTTGGACAGACGAAAAGGGAAAGTTGGAAGTATATTCAGGGACGGAGGGAGTATCGCAATTACTATCATCTAATTTTCCTTCTACCTATGAGCACTTAGGTTTATTAAAATGTGCGTATTGTTTAACTAAATCTGTTTTGTATAACTTTTACGTGATTCAGTTCTAATTCTAATAAGTAAATAAGAAAAAATTACGGAGTATTTAATAAATTTAAAATTAAATTCATATTGTTTAATCGAATTGTACAGTTTTATAGGATACAAATACAAGGCCAGAGCCAAGGGCCTGTCAGGGTGGTCAGCCGATCGCCCTGAAAGTTTGAGAATGTAGAATTCCAAAATATCTTCGATTTGATATATTATGAGTCCCGTAATTCAATACGTATAAAAAGTTATGACTCCAGGAAAAAACAACATCGTCTTAACTTGAAATGAGCTAAATTTGATGCCTGGTATTGATTTTATTTTTAAATTTAAAAATAAATCACTTTATTCACGAGACATAACACGAGACATATATTCAATACAATAACTGAATAGGACTCATTATATTATCATGAGAGATTTCTCAAAATAGGAGTAAATTGAGTTCGGAATTCCTAACTAGGATTACTATGTTTTTACTTTCGAAATAGGACTAACATGACAGTATTTACTGCCATCTTGTAGGCGTTACTGCCAAATAGTTGTAGTACAATACATTTAACATAATAATATTTATTATAATTAATGGCAGTATTTTTCAATCATGATAGTAAAACAACTCTTATTTCAGGAAGAAAAAACATAATAGTCCTATTTTGGAATTCCAAACCTCATTTACTCATATTTAGAGACAATTTCCCTATTATCATTTATATCAGCCATATATGAAACATTTAACTGATTTATTTTTAATAATTATTCACCATTTTAATAGTGTATATAATTAATTTTTGACCCAGCTCACACGTTTTTTTTGCTCCGCCAGTGCACATAGCAAACAAAATTCCAAAGTTTTACCACTAATATTTCAGTAATATATAATCCTAAATGTGCTAATACATATAGGAGAAAGAAAAGTATGAATACGAAGACTTGGGAAGAGATGAAGAAGATGAAGAGAATGAGGAGAAAGAACAATGCAGTCCAGTCTCAGTATTGGATCCTCCATTTGAAGACGATAATTATGGGCTAAAGGAGGAAGACGAAGAGAAGGAAGACGATCTTGAACTTGAATGTGCCTACGCCATAGTACAAAGTAAGCACTCTTATGTCACTATTAGTTCGTTTCATTGATTGTGGTACGGTATTTGAATAATATCCATTTATTGCACGTTTGTATTCATTGTTAGCTGGGCAGTCTTTTTCTGTATTGTTCGAGTAGTAGTTATTTTTGTGGCGATTTTTTTGCATAACACATGCTCAACTCTGTTATGTCATTATCACCAATATGACCACATCGATTATTATAGACACTATTAAAAAATGACACACCTCATTCTCCTCGGATCAGGGGCGAAGCCAGGCCGGACACTGGGCCAGACTGAGTCGGTACAAAGAATATTTTGAAAAAAAAAATTCACACGGAATTTTTTACATTAAAAATTTAGACATTTTTTAAATTTGGGCTACGCCAGGGCCAAGGTTGGCCCTCCCCTAGCTGCGCCCCTGCCTGGGACCCAAAAAAGAACCACAATTTAGCTGGTGGGATAATAGCAACGGTATTGTGTTTCACTATAATGACACTGCCCCTTCATTATTGTGTTAAGCGTCCAACTAAGCAGTCAATTATAACCATAGTTAGGAACAAACATGTTAGTTTTGGGTGGGTACTGCCATAATTTGATTGATCCTTTAATATGAAGTCTCAATTATATTGATAGTACATTATCAGGATCAATAACCTCAAGAAGAGTACATATCACTATATTAGGATCCGTCTGCTTTAACGATCCACCATCTTGTAGTGACACGTTAAGTGAATATTCATCTTACGAGAAATACTAGTAGGATATAAGGCATTCACTTACTTTGATTTTTGAGGAACTAGTATGAGCCATTAAGTATTAGTACAATAGTACATGAATCATTTGTATCTAACACTTCTGTTACAGCCTAACACACCCACTAATCAGCTTTGCCTCTGTCTGTAACTGGTAGGAGCGCAGCAACAGCTACTGGCCAAGCTTAGTAGATTTGAGAAACTAGTGGAGTTGGATCCGTTTGAGCTCGAGAAAATACTGCAAGAAGAGGAAGAGGACAATGAGGATGTGAGAAGTGATGAGGTCATCCCGCTCGAGACGAAGAAGTGTGTCACGGACCTGATCTCATGGAATGGGTTGAAATGGGATAGCATAGACAAGATGATAGAGTTGGACATCCGTGCAGGGCCGTGTGAATGGATGCCATTGGCAAACCAAGTGCAGGAAGAAACCGTCACAGATATCGAGGTCGCAATCTTTGGAGTTCTGGTGGATGAAGTCTCAGGTGAACTCAGTGGGAGAATGAGTGAAGTTTTGACATAAATAACTGATGGTTGGGCTAATGGACAGCATTCTAATTAATTAACATGCACCAAGGAGGAAGGGATATGCTAATTTATAAGCTAATGTGTCTATATAAACGGGGTTTATTCTGTTTATTCTGCTCATGCCTATAGAATTAAGTTATGGTGTTACCATGTATGAAAACTTCTCAGGTTAAATCTGTCTTTAGAACAATAATACTATCATAGACTAATATTACCTGCGGGAGCAAGGTTGTTAAGTTTTTGAATCATTTATCCTTTTATGAATCTTGTTTATTTACCAGAAATTTCAATGTTTCTCTACTACCATTTTGTTCCAAATCATTAAAATGTTGAGCAACTTCTTTGCACCGGTAAAGGATCTAGGGAGTCTTGAGAAGAAAGGATGAGTGGATGACCCCCAAGAACCGGTTGAACAATCATATGAAAATACAAATTAAGTTTTGATGTGTGAAAAGAGAGTGATATACTAGCCCAAATCTTTAATTAGAGTTGCACCTCTCATATCTCCTTTGTGACACATTCTTCACACTATGTGAGCTACACCCCGGACATTAGCCTATCATGATTGTATATATGAAGGTTTACTTGGCTGCCTTATTAAAAAATCATTTGTCACCAAAGATTGAAAAAATATGGACTAGACATTTTAGGATAACATTGTTGATTGACACGAGTTTCGCCTAAGGCAACATAAAAAGTATCTCCTATACTTCACTCGGACAGCTTAAACATCTCTTATACCCACATCCAATTTTTCTCATTAGTTTTTTTAATAAAAAAGTGCCCATTTTCTAGACTTCTCTAGTACATCTTATACAATATATTGAAAGAATTATTCTAGTTTATAATCAATTCATAGTGTGGGGTATGTCTAGTTGATACATAAAGACATTAACTACGATAAATTAAACTCCGATCTATCTCTTCTGACACACCCTATCAACCATTGAGTTACGTCAATTGTACATAATTATCTTTACTTTCAAAAACAAATCTACACTTTTGAATGCAAGAATTACATATTTTCTTGTTTGTTATAATTTTCATTTTCAAAAATAGATCTGAAGCGTTGCTCGTTCATTTTTCTCCTTGAAAACCATATAGGGTATATATATATTTAATTTCACTCCACACTTATCTTTATTCATAACAAATGAAAATTACCTTTTTCTATCTTTCCATCTCCTATTCTACATAAGAAGGATCACATAGATCTGTTCCCTTACTAGAAGGATCTTAAAATGCTTTTACTTGGATTAGTTTCATGCCAAACAAATCACACGACTTTAGATCAAACTAGATCATTACAAGTGACTTAACAAGAAAATACCAGTCAAATTAAGATGTTTTTCCTCCAATACAAGGTGTAAAGTGGGGTATTGTAGAGGACGTATGGAATCATTTTGAATCACTAATTAAATAGAAATTACTTACATACTTTAATCAAATCCATCGTTTAGTTGCCTATCAAACTCTTGAAAAAGGGTTTACATTCCAAAAGATTAACAAGTAGGAACAGTGACCCCACGTGTACGGGATTTTGTAATTTTGTATGTTGTCGCCAAATGACCTATCCAATTTATGGTTTGAATGTGTCATAACTTAAAAGACAGGGCATAAATTCATTAGAGTACAACTTCGGTTACCCTAGATGGATTGAATGAAAATACAATTGGAATATCTTCCTTTAACCTTTCTTTCTTTATGCACTGTTTTATTATTCCCAGCATACCAAGCCATTGCTTTATACTACTGTAGTATTTAATTCCTCAACATACAGCAATGAAAATAGGGCAGACATTAATGGGAAAGTGATGTACCACCAGCCATAATGACTCATAATTGCTTCACGGATAACATTAGTGCTTGGAGATGCACCAAACACTTGTATTCTGCCACTAATTGTTTTATAATTTTGTTAGTGAGTCACTTACATAACTGTACTCAATGATCCACTAATCACGCTGTTGAGGTTAAGTCCAGTAGATCCAAAAGCCCAACACAAACTTTGGATATTTCAGGAAATGGATAATAAATCAAGTGTATAAGGAAATATAATAGCTGAAGAATAATAATGTTCAAGAACCCAATTGTATTAGACAATTTATTGATTACACAGAGACTTCCCGAACGGTACATCGGAATAGTGATTAATACAAGAACAAGAGAGATAAAGTTATTCTAGGTCTTGAGTATCAAAATGCTAACTGATGGATAGTGATGGAGTATTAACTCCTAGAGAGAAGGGAGAGCTAGAGAGATAAAGTGATATATGTAATGAATTTCTAACCCTTTACATGACTCCCTTAGGGAGTATTTATAGGAGAAAAGCGGGCTGGGCTTCCAGGCTTGGGCCTGGAAGGCCCATTTACAGTAACAGGCCAATAAATGGCTAACAAATGGTATTTAATCTATTCTAACGGGTATACATGAATAAAATGGAGTGTACAACGAAATAAATGCTATCTACTGAGCGTATGTGGGCCGCTGTCCGGGTCCAATAGTCGTGAGACCCGGGGGTCCGAGTCTATATACTCTATCAGGAGTCCCCCACTCTCTGAGTCGAGAGTATTCGAGGCGAAAGAGAGTAGAATTGTGTGCTGATCTTTCGTCGTCTCGTGAGTAAACTTCATGAACAAAAATTTGAAATTCTGCTTCCTTGGTTAACGGAGGCGCTAAGTCCCCCGCTCTCCCAGTCCCCCACTCCTTGAGGCGAGTGTAATGAGCTGAAGAGGAGTAGAGTAATGAGTGTCGGATGATGTCTTCAACAGGGGGCCGAGGGTTGACACCTTTTGATCCACGATGGGGAGATGCCACGTTAAAAACCTCATTAGGAAAAACCCTGTGGGAAAAAATCCTAATGAGGGAAAAAGAGTACACCGGATGCCCCCAAAATGAAACAAAAGGTGCGAGCCCTTCGGCCTGGAGATGGAGCTGCAGCGGTGCCCGTCTGCTGGATGGTCGAGGCCGATCTCCAGATGTGGGTAGCTCATCATGATCAGTAGTCCTAGTCATCAAATAAAGATGACTAAGGGATGGGTCGAGCGACCGTCCACAATATGATGTCTGGTTCATCAAATAAAGATGACCAGAACGTAAGGCCGATGGGCCGAGAGGCCTATACGAGAGCTCCACGTCGTCAAATAAAGACGATTGGGCGATGTGTGCGGCCGAGGGGCCTGCATAAGAGCTCCACGTCATCAAATAAAGACGACGGGGCGATGGTGTGGCCGAGGGTCCTGCATAAGAGCTCCACGTCGTCAAATAAAGACGACGGGGCGATGGTGTGGCCGAGGGGCCTGCATAAGAGCTCCATGTCGTCAAATAAAGACGACGGGACGATGGTACGGCCGAGGGGCCTGCATAAGAGCTCCACGTCGTCAAATAAAGACGACGGGGCGATGGTACGGCCGAGGGGCCTGCATAAGAGCTCCACGTCGTCAAATAAAGACGACGGGGCGATGGTACGGCCGAGGGGCCTGCATAAGAGCTCCACGTCGTCAAATAAAGACGACGGGGCGATGGTGCGGCCGAGGGGCCTGCATAAGAGCCCCACATCATCAAATAAAGATGACGGGGTGATGTATGGCTCAGAGGCCTATATGCGAGCGCCATGTCATCAAATAAAGATGACGGAGCGAGATATGGCCGATGGGCCTGTAAATGAGCTTCGCGTCATCAAATAAAGATGACGAGGCGATATATGCCCGATGGGCCTGCAACTGAGCTTCGCGTCATCAAATAAAGATGACGGAGCAAGATGTGGCCGACGGGCCTACAAATGAGCTCTTCATCATCAAATAAAGATGACAGAGCGATATATGGCCGATGGGCCTACAAATGAGCTCTTCATCATCAAATAAAGATGACAGAGCGATATATAGCCAATGGGCCTGCAAATGAGCTTCGCGTCATCAAATAAAGATGACGGAGCGATATATGGCTGAACTCTGGGCTCCTTTAGCCTTTCGGCCGGAGACCGCAAGATGTTCGCTGTATCTGAATAGGGGGACGAGGCGGTGGACGCTTGTCTGAATATGAGGACGACGACGCTGATGAGTCGGTCCGAATATGAGGACGACAGCGCTGACGAACCGGTCCGAATATGGAGACGATGGCGCTGGTGAGCCGGTCCGAATATGGGGACGAGGCGATGATAAGCCATGCGTCATGTGAAGGCGACAGTCACCATCCAGGAAGGGAATGGCGAGCCTGGTCGCTAGATAAGGACTTCGGCGCTGGGGCCGGTCTAAATGTGAGGACGAGGCGATGATGAGCCGTGCGTCATATAGGGGCGATAGTCACCATCCAGGAGGGGATGGCGAGCCCAATCGCTATAACAAGACTTCGGCACTGGGAGCCGGTCTTGAGATAAATAATCATGTCGTGGCCGAGAGGCTGATCGCGATGTGCGGATGACAATGATGAGGAGCCAGTCCGAAATATGATGACGAGGCGAAGATGGAGCCGATCGTCATATAGAGGCGATAGTCACCATCCAGGAGGGGATGGCGAGCCTGATCGCTAGCCCAACACACTCGGCACTAATGAAGCCGGTGTTGGGATAGGGTGTGACGTCGTGGCCGAGGGGCCGATCGTGATGCGAGGTCGTCAGCACTAAGAGGCTGATCCAAAAGTCCAAGCAGCGGTCGCCATCCGATGAAGGAATGACTGAGACCGGTCTTGGGGATAGATAATCACGCCGAGGCCGAGGGGCCGATCGTGATGTGCGGACGGAGATGATGAGCCGATCCGATAATATGATGACGAGGCAAGAATGAAGCCAATCGTCATATAAGGGCGATGGTCACCATCCAGGAAGGGATGGCGAGCCCGATCGCTAGCTCAAGACTCTCGGCGCTGAGGAAGCCGGTCTTGAGATAGATAGTCACACCGAGGCCGAGGGACCGGTCATGATACGCGGATGGCGATGAAAAGAGCCAATCCGAAATATGATGACGGGGTAATGATGAGCCGGCCGTCATATAAAGGCGATGGTCACCATCCGGGCAGGGATGGCGAGCCCGATCGCTAGCTCAAGACTCGCGGCGCTGAGGAAGCCGGTCTTGAGGTAGATAATCACACCGAGGCCGAGGGGGTCGGTCGTGATATGAGGACGACGACGATGAGGAGTCGATCCTATAATATGATGACGAGGCGCTGATGAAGCCGATCGTCATATAAAGGCGATGGTCACCATCCGGGCAGGGATGGCGAGCCCGATCGCTAGCTCAAGACTCGCGGCGCTGAGGAAGCCGGTCTTGAGGTAGATAATCAC